GTTTAGGGTTTAGGGTTTAGGGTTTAGGTGTTTAGGGTTTAGAGTTTAGGGTTTAGGATTTAGGTTTTCGGGTTTGGCAAGGTTAAGAGTTTGGGCGGGTTCCCTAAACTTCAGGTAACCCTAAGCACTTAAACCCAAAGACGTCAAACCCACAAATCCTTTAACGACTAACCCTCAACCCCAAACCATGTAACCCTCGACCCCGTAAACCCCAAAAAACCTTAAACCCGTTTAGAGCCTTGAACTATCCACGCAAGAGTCGATACGCACTAAACCCTTGTAGGACCTTCATACTAGGACGGTTGTAGCCTACATAACACCCCAAACCCTAAACCCTAAACCCTAAACCCTAAACCCTAAATCCTAAACCCTAAACCCTAAACCAGAAGCCTCAGAGAGCCATACTATTAACCTTGTAGGATCCCTGAACGAATCCTTGTAGTAACCTTTTTGGACAATTAGGGTTTAGGGTTTAGGGTTTAGGGGTTTAGGGTTTAGGGTTTAGGGTTTAGAGTTTAAGGGAATTTTTATAGTAACTTTCCAGGACCCTGAATCGAATCGTTATACTTACTAACTTTATAGGAAACTTAAAGGAATCCTTACAGTAGCCTGATAGAACCCTTAAAGGAATCCTTAGAGTAAACTTATAGGATCCTTAAAGGAATCCTCATAGTATCCCCCTCATAGGACCCTTTTAGGATTCTGTGCAGCAATCTTATTGGGCCCGTAGACGGCTCCTTAAAGGTTTAGGGTTTAGGGTTTAGGGTTTTAGGGTTTTAGGGTTTAGGGTTTAGGGTGCTGCGACCTCAAGAGCCGATCTAAGGCTCGAATTCGAGAGTCAGGCCATGACAGCCGGACTGTCGGGCTACGTGGCCGCCACGTCTGCACTTGGCTCTTTGGGGTTGGGTTGTAGGGTTTAGGGCTTTGGGGCTCAGGGCTTAGGGTTCAGGGCTTGGGGTTTAGGGTTTTGGGGGCTTGGGGCTGAATTAGGGTTTAGGGCTTCGGGTTTGGGGGGTTCGGGGTTTGGTTCGGGGTTTAGGATTTAAGGCGTAGGGGGTTTCGGGCTGGGGGACCCAGCCCCAGGGTAAGGCCCGCTAGGGTTTAGGATTTAGGGTTTAAGGTTTAGGGTTTAGGCTTTAGGGTTTAGTATTTAGGGTTTAAGGTTTAGGGTTTAGGCTTTAGGGTTTAGTATTTAGGGTTTAGGGTTCAGGGGACAGCGTTTCTGTTTCGAACTGCTGTTTACTTTACCGCAGGAGCGGGGTTCTAGCACCGTTTATCCGGGTTATGCACCATAAACCCTAAACCCTAAACCCTAAACCCTAAACCCTAGACCCTAAACCCTAAACCCTAAACCCTAAACCCTAAACCCCATAATGTCTTGGTTCACCATGGTAATGCCTAAAAGTTCAAGGGTTTGGGGGCTTAGGGCTCGTGTTTCGACGCGTCTGTAGAGTTCCTGCGATAGACTAAGCTAGGGGCCTCAACAATTACCTACACTACTTTGGGGGTTCCTTATTAGAATTATAGTATCATGGGAATGGGACCCAAAAACCTTATTTTAGTCTCCAAGATTTAAGGCCCCTATATTCGCTGCCTTGCGGTGAGGTTTTCTGGATTTGACCTTGAGGTTGTAGGCTTGCAGGGCACGGCATTGAAGACGTCGTGGCCTATTACCGGCATTCACAGATAAAGCTGGGGAGGCCTCCATTCTCCCGACATCCTCACTGACGTGTGAAGAATGCCTTCAACAAATCAAACCCCTGAAATTTCCTGAACACCACATCGGTAAACCCTATACCCTAATTCCCTATTCCCTATCCCCTAAACCCTAAACCCTAAACCCTAAACCCTAAACCCTAAACCCTAAACCCTAACGGCGAGGTCTTTGGCACAGCAGATCATGGCCAGTTGCTCATCGCAGCCACGAGACCGCATATGATGGAGAGCCCGGGGTTAAGGCTTTAGGGTTTAGGGTTTAGGGGTTTAGGGGTTTAGGGTTTAGGGGTTTAGGGTTTAGGGTTTAGGGTTTAGGGTTTAGGGCCTCGGGGTTTCAGAGTTTAGGGTTTAGAAGGGTTTAGGGTTCAAGGCTTAAGGGAAGGAGAGCCTACATGGGTATTGAGGCGTTTCTTTCTCCAGCCTCGTTCTTCTTTTCTCGGAGCAGGGGGTCAATGAAGCAAGGGTCCGTAGTAGGATTCGGTTTAGGGTTTAGGGTTTAGGGATTAGGGTTTGGGGTTTAGGGTTTAGGGTTTAGGGTTTAGGGTTTGGGGTTTAGGGTTTAGGGTTTAGGGTTTAGGGGTGCAAGGTTCAGAAGTTTTGTACAACTTTCGGAACTCCGTCACGGCCTATTCACAGAGATTCTTGCGGTGGGTCGTTTACCGACTCCTATAATAGAGCCTCAGTAATTACCACTACTGCTCTTTAGGGTTCCATTTTTATGCATTCTACTACAGTATTCTACCGAGGCTTTCTCCATCCCGATCACCACAGCCCCTTGCTTCACCGCCCGCTGTGGACCGGGGCTGCCTCATGGAGAGGACCCCAGGGTACGGGTGCCGGGATACAGTTTTAGGGTTGAGGCTTTATGATTTAGGGTTTAGGGTTTAGGTTCGAGTCTGCTAGCCTGATTGTATGTAGAGTCTTAGGGGGCGAAGGATTCTGTTCACAGTTGTTTGAGTGCTCAATCAGTAGGGATTTTGGACGTAAGCTTTCTGCTGAATCCTACGTATTGCACATGAGTCCTCTAAACGCCAATCAAACCCTAAACCCTGAACCCTGAACCCTAAACCCTAAACCCTAAACCCTAAACCCTAAACCCTGAACCCTAAACCCTAAACCCTGGACCCACATGCTCGGTTTTCAGACGTTTCAGGAGATCAGGGTTCCCGATGCTTAAGCTTTGGGTCCTGTGCTGCACGGCATTTTGGGGGAACCCCAGAGGGTCAAAAGCATGGGCCAAGCCTCCCAAGTTGAGGGTTTAGGGTTAAGGGTTTAGGGTTTAGGGTTTGTATCAATAATCTTGATCAACTTTAATATTTTAGGGTATAGGGTCCAGGGCCACGGTTTGGCATGTTTCGGGGGTTTAGGGGGTTTAGGGTTTAGGGGGTAGAAGTTTAGGCTCATTAATCGAGGGCTCTCGCACGAAACCCATGATCCCTGCAACAGCAGCTCAGTAGTAGAGTAGGTAACCTGGTTCTTTTTTGAGGTACCACAACCCCTGTACATTCTCAAAGGTTCACTTTGAAGTTCCCCAGTAAACCCCAAACCCAAAGCCCTAAGCCCTACACCCTAAACCCTAAACCCTAAGCCCTAAGCCCTACGCCCTGAACTCTAAGCCTCAAGCCCTAAGCCCTAAGCCCTA